GCCTGTACCGGGCCTGTTTCCTCTGAGAACACCCTTCCTGGGACTCCCTGCCCCCGCACCCTCAGCTGAGAGGCTCGCGGTCCCCACCTCTGCCTCGGAGGCCCATTTACAGGCAGGCTGCGTCTCCCCTCCGTCATCGGGAACATTAATCACAGATAACGGAGGCGGAGAAGGATCCCCGGGCCGGGCTCCTCACCTATTAATATGTCTGGCCAAGGCCTCGGGCAGCTCCAAGTCCTAAATCACACGCTCATCGATCTTGTCTGAGGAGCCCTTGCCCAGGGTGGGGCCTCAGAGGGCGCAGCTCCCCCAGGTGTTCAGTGTGTCCAGATGCTCCCATCAAGGCTCGGGGCCCCTCTGGTCCCTTGGAGCAGCAGGTGGGGGTGTGGCTGCGTCCCCAGCTGCCCTGGGGCAGGAAGCCGTGGTGTGTGTGGGGCCCTGACCTCAGCCTTCCCCACAGGGTGACTTGGGAGTTCGGGGCCCGGGGCCCGGGGCCTTCTGGGGGCAGGGTGGGCCCGGAGTCCTGAGCCCACACCGAGGAGAGGCCAGATCGAGGACCCCAGGAGAGGACAGGGCCTGCTCCGCATGGTCCCACCTCCTGGCCCCGTCCCTGTCTGCAGGAAAGGCACGGCGGACAAAGGATGCCTCTGCTGCTCGGCTGGCCTGGGGCCTCTGTGGCCAAGGTCAGGGCTGTGCCTCAGGGGGTGCTTCAGTGGGGGACTGCCACCCAGTGGGCAAGCTTTGTGCAGTTAGGTGGGGCCGCTTCTTGAGAAGCGTGACCCTGGGCTCAGGGCCATTGCATTCGGACACCCCCTCCCCAGGGCCCCCCCAGGGCTCGGCCCCCCCCCCCCCCCCCCCCCGGGGCACAGGCACCCGGCGCACGGGCCCCGGTTCGGGGGGGGGGGGTTGCGCCCCCTCCCAACCCCCGCGGCCCCCCCCCCCCCCCCCAGCCGGAGGGGAGGGTTCCGAGGCGGGTGTGGCAGCATCAGGGGACGTGCTGGTCTCCGGGAGCCGACACCCGGCTGGGGCTCCCCCCAGCACTGGGGCATCTGAGGTTCGCAGCCCCACCCTCGGAAGGCTCCAGGGGCTGGGGTGCAGCCAGGGGCCGAGGGGGCCAAGTCGCTGGGGCCTGTCTCCCCCGCAGTTCTTTGTGCTGCTGCTGCTGGTGTTCCTGCTGGAGGCCACCATCACCATCCTCTTCTTCGCCTACACTGACAAGGTCGGCCACCTCCTCCCTCCCTCTGTCCTCACCACCCAGCAAGGGCCATGGCACCGTGGGTGACGGGTACAGGCGGGGCTGACAATGGCAGTCACAAGCCCTGTGCCCGGCGCGGACGCTCTGTATGGACAGGCAGCGGTCCCGGGCATCCCACCCACTGGGGACTCAGCTTTAAGCACAGCTGCCAGAGGCCAGGCCTGGAGGGGACTCCAGGACTCCCTGGAGGCTCCGGGAGTGGGTGGCAGGGGAGCTGTGCTGAGCTCCTACTGTCCTCAGCGCCATGCTTGTTGGGTGGGAAAATCTCCTGCCTCCATTTACTTGCTTAATCATTTATTTATGTTACTGAGGGCTCTTTTGCGTGTTTCACACTCCGGGTTATACTCTAGGCCTTACTTTGCTCTCATGTGGGCACCTCTGCCCCTTGGGAGCTCGCCTCTGGCTCCTCCTGTGTCCCTCTGGCGGCCTCCCCTCAGTGCACTTGCCGGTGGGCACTTCCTTCCTTCCTGGCGTCTCCTGCCCCGGGCCCGGGCCCAGCCGTTTCTCCGGGAGCCCCGGCTCCTTCCCTGGAGGATGGTCCTGGGAGCCACGTTCTGGGGCTGGCGTGCTCCTTGTCACTCTGGGCCTCTCGGCCGACAGTCAGAGCCACGTGTGCAAACGACCCGTGTGTACAGACGGCTCTCGGGTTTCTGCACCTGTCTGTCGGTATCCGGACCTTGAGCGGACACCGGTTCGTGCTGGCGTGTCTCACTCTGGTCCAGACCACAGAGTTCACCCCAGGGGGCAGGGGCAAAGTCCCCGGCACAGGGACGGGGCTTCTGACAGGAGAGGACTCCAGGGGGGGGGGGGCACAGGGCACCTGCAGGGTCTGGATGAGGGAGGCAGGGCTGGCCGTGGGGGTGGCCCTGCTGACCCCGCTGCACCTGCAGATCGACAGGTATGCCCAGCGAGACCTTAAGAAGGGTCTGCACCTGTACGGCACCCCAGGAAACGTGGGCCTCACTAATGCCTGGAGCATCATCCAGACCGATGTGAGTCTGGGGAGTGGGGTGGGGTGTGCCAGGTCGGGTGAGGGGGACAGGGACCACCTGCCTCCCCAGCCCTCCTAGCGCCTGCCCCTCTGCAGTTCCGCTGCTGTGGGGTCTCCAACTACACCGACTGGTTCGAGGTCTATAATGCCACCCGTGTGCCCGACTCCTGCTGCCTGGAGTTCAGTGACAGCTGTGGACTCCACGCACCTGGCACCTGGTGGAAGGCAGTGAGTGCCTGCATCGCCCCTCCCTCCTGTCCTGGCCCCGGGACCTGGGGGTGGAGGGCTGATCTCGAAGCTCCTGTGACGCCCTCTCTTCCTCCAGCCGTGTTATGAGACCGTGAAGATGTGGCTCCAGGAGAACCTCCTGGCTGTGGGTATCTTCGGGCTGTGCACGGCACTGGTACAGGTACGCTGGGTGCCCAGACCCCCCCCGGCCTCCAACCTAGCACCCCAGCTCGTCAGCACCCGGGTTCAGGCTCCCTGAGCCCACACGGCTGATGGGGGATGCTCAGGGACCAGTCCCTGGGGAGGTGACCTTTGACATCTCTGGCACAGGCAGGCCAGCCTTGTTCTGCGGTCCTAGGCCTGCCCGGTGGCTGTGGTGGGTGGGAGTCATGGGACTGCCCGGTGCAGAGTGAGGGTGGTCCTCCCGGCCCCCGGGGAAGTCCTGAGTGAAATGGACGTGAAAAAGCCGCCAGCAGAACCCACGGGAGCCAAGCTGAGGGAGAGGCAGGTCCCGGGGCCGAGCCCCAGGAAGCCCCGTCTGCCTGTGGTGGGCGGGCCCTGCGATGGCTCGCGGATGTGGCCGGGATGGGCCTGACTGCCAGGGCTGGGGGGCACCCCCAGAGAAGTGGGGTGCAGGCCATCCGGGAAGCTGGGGGGTAGGTCCGTGCTTCTGGCTTCCTGGAGTCCTGCCCAGCCCCCCTTCATGTCCCGCAGATCCTGGGTCTGACCTTTGCCATGACCATGTACTGCCAGGTGGTGAAGGCTGATACCTACTGTGCGTAGGCTCCGCTCCTGCCACCCCCGCCCCCCACCTCGCTGCCGAAGGATGTAGCCCACCTGCCTCTCCCTGCTGCAGGACTCAGCACCATCCTGGGCACAGGGAAGGGGACCCTCAGCTAGCCCCGCGAGCACCGCGCTGCAGCAGGGCAGCAGGCGCAGGGCTGGGGGTGGGAGGGGCTTCTGGCGCTTCTCGGATCCATGTGTCCTGCAGAGCAGTGTTTTCCCCCAGGGCTGGGGCCATTCGCGGGGGGGGGTCGGGGGGGGGTTGAAGGGCCGCCCGCTGGTCCTGGTGCTCGTGGCAGACAGCCCCGCCAACCACATTCCACAGAGGAGCCAGGGCGGGCTCTGGGATGTCTTAATAAAGCGCGTGGACAGCAGCCGCCCCCCTGTGTCTGTTGCCGCTGTGACCCCTGGAGGGGGTGCTGTGCCCAGACAGACCCTGTGCGGCCGTGGCCCCCCACCAAGTGCCCGGAGTGCAGTTCCCGGACGCGCACGGGTGCAGCCACCAAACTGCACGAGATCAGATGCACAAAGTGGCACAGTGGCGCCTCGGAACGGCCCTGTGCCTCCCTGACCCACTCTCGGCTCTTCCAGTCCTGTCCCCTGCCGCGGGGAGGCCCCTCCATCTAGCCCCAGAGCCTTGCCTGCCCCCCGGGGGTCTGACGCTGTGAACTTTCCCCCTTAACTGTTATCTGTACGGGGGCCATCAGGAGCCGGGCAAGGATCCCTGGGCCCAGTCAGAGGGGCAGCTGGTCTCCTAGAGGAGCCCCTGAATCTGTTTCCAGCCCCCACTCCTGCTGGCTCCAGGGTGCTGCCCTCTGCCTGCTCCTCCCAGGGACGCCCCCGAGTGTCACTGTTCTTGTGTGGTGGACACACTGCTGACGTGCAGCCAAACGCTGACCACGGCCACAGACACAACCCAGACTGCCGAGTCCTCCCTCCCTCCGTCTCCCAACCTGTCCTCACTCCACGGAAACCACCAGTGAACCTACCACCAGAACCAACATGAGCCCGTCATCTCTGGGCACACGGTTAACCCACCGGCAGCAAACTCCCGGAGTGCCAACAGAAACAGCCCATGTCCAGCAGGGCGGTCCCCATCTGACCCCGTGTTCCCAGGAGCCCTCGGGCTGTTCCCCGAGCTCGCCCCCGCCCCCCGTCCAAGTATGTGACCAGACACACCTGTCCCACCGCCAGGTGGCTCCTACGGACAGACCCGCGTGCAAGCTCCTCGCTGGACCGACGGAGGAGGCTTGTCCCTCGCTCGCCGCCCACGGGAGCCCTCAGGCTCCAGCCTGCACCCCACTTCCCCTGGGGCCCGCAAACTGCCTTGGCAGCCATGCTCCCTAGGGTCCCCACCCTCCGGCCAAACCCCACCTGCTGCCTGTACTTGGTCTCCAGATTCACTTTTCTCACTGTGGGCACCCCGGGGGTCTGACCTCAGGGCCCCTCTCCTGGCTCCCACCCCCCTTCACTGGTCCCGTCTTCCGAAGCCCCACTGAGGAGCTCCCCCCACGCACACCCAGTGTCTTGTCACCTGCCTGGCTCCACGCCCACTGATCCTGACATCCCGTGAGCCCAACTCCAGAGCGGACTTCCAGACACCCTACAACCCAGCACCCCAGCCCTGGCGGGGGGAGGGGGCTGGCCTGTGCCTACAGCTCCGTCCAGTGCTCCTGCCTGGTGCCAGGGTGTCTGTGTGGGGCCCTATGTGCCGGTCAGTGTCCCCGTCCCACAAGCAGACAGGCACACGTGTGAACACGTGCACACAGGCACATACGCACCTGTGGAAGCCGGGCACATGGATTTCTGGTGCAATACTTCCCCCACCAGTCCTCTTATTCAGGCCCCACCCTGCGAGCAGGTCTGGGGGCCAGGAGTGGGGTAGCTGGCAGAGCCCGTCCCCCTGGAGAGGGGGTTCCTCCCTAGGGCGGCTGCGGGAGGGGAGGGTGGCTCCAGCAAGGAACTGGAAGACCCAAGGCCCCGCCCCTCCTAACACACAACCTCCCCCTTGGGGCCCTTCTGCCTTCTCGTCCACCCCGCGACCCCCAGCTTGGAGCTCTAAGCCTGAGGGTGTGAGAGAAACCGGAGCCGTGGGGCGGCCGCACCCTCACACACGGCGTCTGGCCGGTTGGTCTGGGCGGGCAGGGCTCTGGCTCCGGGCCCTGGACCGTCACGGTTCCCAAGGGGTTCTGCTGCTTGGAGCCTACGAAGGTTAATTACTGGGGAGGAGGCGTGAGCGGCCCTTCTGGCTGGGGGACCGGGGGGCAGAGTCTTTGGCTGCCGGCAATCCCAGCATTTCTCCTGATGTTTCATACAGGGAGCCAGGTTACCCTGCGGGTGGAAACTGATCACACGGCCCATGGGTGCCAGAGGGCTCCCAGGGGTCTTTCTGTTGCCCCCGTGGGGTCCAGGGCCTCTGGGGACAGGAAGAACCGTTCTGAGCCCAGCTTTCTACAGCGACGCCTACACCCTTGCCGTGTGCAGCTTGGTAAGCGGACTGAGCCAGCATGGGCGGTGAGAGGCCAAGGCCCCTCTGTGCAGCCCTGGGCTGACACTAGGTCCCACCAGGGGCCTGGGGTCCACACGTGAGAGGGCCTCCTAGTCCTGCCCCAACCTGGCCAACGACCGGCAGCAGTGAGGGCTGGGTGGGAGGGGCCTGGGTTCTCAGGCACCGCCCCCCCCCACTGCCCCTCCCCACATCGCTCACGAGGCCTGGGTCCCGGGCCCCCTCTACCACCGCTCGAGGACCACAGCAGAAACTGAACAGAAAAGAAGAGTCTGTATTTTGCTTATCAACTGGTCACTCCGCTGCTCAGGAAAGCACACGTCCGCTTGGAGCCAGGCCTAGAGCAGGTCGTAGAAGTAATCCAGGCCCTGGCCCAGCTCCCACATGGACACTCCGACGCCCAGCTCCCTGGCCAGCTCCAGCCGCACCTGCACAGACTGCAGGCCCCGGGAAGCGTCAGCCCCACCTCTCACCCCCTGGCAGCCCCCCACCCTGGCCGCCAGGGAGTAGCAGGTCAGGCCCCGAGCTGACCTCCGCTGCTCACCGAGGGTAAGGGTCACTGTGGGGGGAGGGGTGTGGTACCTGCACCCCCACCCCCAGCACAAAGGCGGGCCCGTGAGTACCTTCAGAGTTGGGTAGAAGACGATGTGCCTCCCTCCGCGGCTTCTGCAAAAGGATGAGCCTTCTGCCTCTGCCCACCTCAGCTTCTCCCAACCCCACCCAACGTGGAAGTGCGGGGTGCTCCTCCCTGTCAGCAGAAGCCTCAGGTCCTGCTAGAAACGCCGCCCCACGGGTCCGCTCCTTGGGCCGGATCAGCCCTCGGGGGCAGGGGTCGAGCGCAAGGCCCTGGGGCCCTTGGCCAGCCTGGGCATGCACAGCCCTCACCTAGGGCCTCCTCCAGACACTCACTTCTTGTACTCGAAGAAGTGTTCTGCTGCCTGGCTGTCCCACATGATCCGGGGCCTGTGGTCCTTCAGCATCTGGATGTACCTGCAGGGAACCGGGCACAGGTGTGGGAGTCCTCGAGACAGCCTGACACCGGGAGGGTCAGGGTGGCTGAGGCTGTCACAGTCGGGCGAGGACCACACGTGTGCCCCGGACACAAGTACAGGAACACAGGATGGGGCACGGGACACTGCCCCCCGTGAATGTGCACTAGGGGTGGGGGACGGTCAGAGACGCGACAGATGGCTCCGATCTCAGGAGCCTGTGAGCTCACTGCTCTGGGCTGTGCAGGTGGGAGACAGACTGCACCAAGGGGCTGGGTGTCCTGACCAGGCCTCTTGCTGTGACATCTGCACCATGAGTGTCCAAGTGGACAGAGTGAGGGCACCTGCACTCAGGGTGTGGCCTCTGTAAGGTACACGGAGCAGACCAGAAACGCGACTGCCCTGAGCGCCACAGGAAGTGTGTGGGGCATTCAGGTCAAACCACAGGCTTCTGAGGAAGAGCGGGCCTGGGGACAGTCCCCGGAGGTCCCCAGCCCAGCTCTCTGGGGCCAGCAGGCAGGGGCAGTGGTTTCCGTGCCCTTCCGGAGGCCAGGCTGCCCCAGCGTTGCCTTTCTTGCCGTGGACAGGGCTGCCTCACACCCACAGCAGTCCTTCCTGACTACCAGGAGCCAGGGGCTTGAGACTGCGCCCCCCGGCCCCCTAGACGCATGCAGAGGACAGGTGACTTCCCAAGGTGCTGTGGGGCCAGGAGGGCCGGGCCTCCCAGTAGTGGGTTCATGAGTGCCCCTTGGCAGACAAGTGCCGGACAGGAGGGGACGGGTACCTGCTGGCAAGGGGGGCGCCTTGCAAGTCCAACCACCTAACATTAGCGGATTACCCTTAATTAAAACAAGGTTCTCTGTTCGCTCACATTATTTGCAATTTTTGGTCTGAGGTCTCTGTGAGAATCCAGGACGTGCAGGGCAGAGCATGCAGGGCCAGATGGGAGGGTGTGTGTGGGGGGGTAAAGGACAGGGCATTTGACCCAGGCTGCCCCTGAGTCCCCAGGGTCCCAAGCCAGGGTAGTGGGCAGATGCTGCAGGATGGGCCCTGGCTGGGGGGTGGAGGGCACGGAGGTTGGGGTCGCTCCCCTCTAGGTGACATGATTGGGGGCACACAGGACCCCGTGCTCACCTTAGTGCAGCCCCAGGGACACAGAGAGGCCAGTGGGGAGCAAACCCTGGGGAGGGCACAGTTGGGCACAGACCAGAGCTGGGAGGGGAGGGTCTGAGAGGGAGAGGAGGCAAACGAGGAGGTGGGAGCCAGAGAGAGAAGCAAGCGGGGAAATACTTCAAAAGTGAGGGCGGCAGCATTTCCCCAAACTGACCCAAGTGAGCCCTCAGCCGCACACCACACGGCTCTGGTTGCAAGAACCGCCCAGACCAGGAGAGCCCGCAGACAGAACGCAGACTGGGGTCGCTGGGGTGGGGGTGGGGGGTACTGCCAAGAGGGCCCAAGGGTGCTTTTTGGGGGAGGAAAGCGTGGAATTTGAGGTGCTGGCTGCACAATTTTGAGACAAACGCCCCGGCACCCACCCTCTGAAACGGCAAGTTTATGGAGTGTGGAAACCCCCCCCCCCGAAAAAAAAAGGTACAAGACCTAGCCTGAGGGTTCCAGGAACGTCAGGGAGAGAACATTCCTCACCAGGATGAGGACATTCCTGGGCCTTATGGGGGAGCGGGGCGGGGGGGGGGGGGGGGGGGGGGGGGCCCCCAGGGACACCCATGGAGACCAACCAGCAGTGGCTCAGAGAAAGGGTCCGACGGAAATGGCAATGAGGCTGCACGTGTGTGGGACCACCAGAGGGAGGGGGGTGCCTCCCACCCCAAAGGAAACTGGCATGTGGCTTCTCACCTTCACCGGTGGGACCTGAGGTCTCCCTGCACTCAGTGCAGGAGCCCTGCCCCACGAGACCAGAGGCACAGGACGGGCTGGACCGAGTCTAAGCCACCCACTCGTGCCGGACCCGCCCACACCCCAGCCTCGGGAGGGGTCCCTGCCAGCCCAGACCCGACCTCCCATTGGCAAGGGGGCCTGATAAACACGCAGAGGGGGACCCACGTGCCCAGTGGCCTCTCCTTGTTACTGTTCCCACTGCCCAACTGCCGCCAGAGTCCCCCGAGCTGCCCCCGCCCCCACTGCCCCGGCAGCTATGTCACTGGGGCTGGGCCCTTGCTGCGTCTTCTCGGGCTAGATGTGGACGGGGTAGGGTCTCCCTGACGCAGGCCCGTGCCATGAGCCGCTCCTCTGTGGGTGACACGAGGACCCTCGCCTGCAGGCCCCACCCACAGGCAGCAGGGCTCCTCCCCAGCTGCCTTTCACGGGCTAGGCCTGGAGGAAAACCTCCAAAGTGAGACAGGCCCACAGCAGAAGACCCCTGGGGAGCCGAGCAGGGACAAAGGCAACTCTAAAGCCAAGCAGGGCACACAAGGAGGCCAGGGCTGAGACACAAGACCAGGGCGCCCAGAGGCAGGACCTAGCAGAAGGAAAGGAAGACACAGACCAAGGCGCGAAGACAGAGAGAAGGCACAGAGCCACAGGAAGGCGGCCGTGAGAAGCCACCCAGGGAGGCCGCCGAAAGGAGACCAGGCACAGGACAGCGACACCCATGGAGCAGGCATCCCCACGAGGTTCCCCGACAGCTCCCTGCCCACGGGGCCTCACACAGACCTGCTGTCCTCAACTGGGGGGAGCTGGGTGCCCAGCACTGTTGTCTGCGGCTGGCAGGTCACGGGGACTGGCCTCACTGGGAAGCATCCTTCCCCGAGCCCCTGGCACCCTGGCTCTCAAGGAGACTTCCAAGCATGACCCGCCCTTTCCGGACCCAGCTGGCTGTGCTCCAGCTGGGGATGCCCAGGCAGGGGCAGGAGATGGCCCAGCAGGGTGGGGATTGCCGGCCCAGAAGGTACATAACAGGGGCCCAGGTGGATTGGTGCCGGGTATCTTGTGGGGCCAGGCTGGGCCTGCCAAGGAAGCAGGACAGCCTCTCAGGAGAGGGGCTTTGCAGGCACGGGGACCCGCAGACGAGCACCTAGACTCGTGCTACCTCCTGGGGCGTTTCACAGCTGCCCAAACTCCCTGAAGTTAGGGAGTGAGCAGGCCATACAGAGGAGCCTGGACACGGCCAGGACAAGGCCCACGTGTGGCCCAGGGATGGCCAACAGAGACTAGTGAGTTGGGAGGGAGGGAAACTCAGGATGTGAAGCAACAGTCACTGCAGACTGGGGCCCCCTGAGGTCCCTTTGGCGGGCACAGAACACTAGCCTGGCTGGCAGAGGCCGGGAGACCACACGCCGGGCCTGAGGGGGCTGGCCTCCTGCCCCACCACGGGGTCCTGGCTCTGTCTGAGGCCGAGCAGATGGTGAGGCGGCCGATCCCCCACTGCCCTGGAAGAGGCGGAGGACACCTGCCACAAAGGGCCAGGTCTCTGTGCCGGAGCGGCCAAGACAGGGAGGGCACATAATCCTGGAGCAGGCTGCAGGGGCTTCCGTCAGCGCCAAAGCTGGAGAGAGCCTGAGTGACCGCGGGGCTCACCGGCGGCCTACACCTGGCCCGATGTCACCTGCATGGGGAGCAGGGCCTGCCGCAGCAGGTTTCGCGGGGGAGAGGGCGGGGTTCGGGGGGGGGGGGCACTGGCCAGGGTGGCATCCTGGTGAACTGCATTTCTAGGGTGCTGCTCCTGAGCCCTCCCCTCCCCCCGCAAACAAAGGCATCAGTGTAGAGCCAGCTGAGCTCTTCCGTCTGGCTCGCTGGATCAGAGAGACGCGGCCCTGAGAGGGGCATGTGTGTCAGGCCTTCCTTCCCTGAAGGCCAGGAGGACTGCCCGCAAGAGTCAGGCTGTGGGCAGAGGACCCCCATGGGGGCCCAAGGGGTGCTTCACTGTTGGCGTCCCTGTTGGTGTTGCAGGGGTCGGGGGCACTTGGGGGCAGGGGGGCCTCTGCCGGGTGTGGGGAGAAGGCTCACACCACATTGGGGCCAGCGTCCATCGCCCCATCTGGGTGTGTCCTCCGTTTGCACCAGGAGCTGCTGTCATTCTACGACTTCCTTCCTGGACTGCAGCTCTCACCCTGGGACTGGCCTGTAGGGGAGGTGACCCCTCTCCAGGCTGGGCTCCCCTCTCCTGGAGGGGGTGCCCCTCCTGATCCCCCTCAGCCCTGCAAGTCCTCCACGGGGCCAGCTCCCTGTGACGTGAACCCCAGGGAAGGTGCTGTGCCGGGAATTGTGCTCCGCTTGAGACCCCGCTTTGGCAAAGGTCCCCCATCGCTGAGTCTGGCCGCGTTGGGGGGCCTGTGGGGAGTGGCCTCGTGAGGGCTGCGTGCCTGCCCCTCCCCCACCTTGTCTAGGGCCGAGGCTCCCTCCTTAGAACAGCAGCTCTCTCTGCCCTGGGGAGCCTGTGCCCTGAGGCCCTTTGACCCGCAGCCTGAGGTGGCCCGGGGGATAAGGAGAGTCCCAGGAGCCACCATCAGGATGGCAGAGTCTCTTGCCGGGTCTCAGGGCACCAAGCCGGGCCCCATTCTACAGCTCGGCAGGAAGGGGCCTGGGGTGGAGAAGAACACAGCCGGGTCTGTGCAGGGGACCCTGGGGCAGCCCTCCACTATGGCCCTCCCCGGAAGCAGACTCGACCCCTCCTCTGCTCCAAGTCCCCAGGCGAGGCAGCGCCTGGCGCCCGGAGGCTGTGGCACTGACCCTCTCTGCTTGCCACAGGCCTCTCATTCTGTGAG